CCCCCGAACATAAAGACTAGGCGTACAGTTGATTATAGTTTCCTGGTGATCAAATATTGATTTTATTATCACAAATATGGCATGCAGGTCGAACCCATGGTCTACTATCCATCAGCTGTCTTGATGTCATTATAGTCAGCTATCTCAAGATAAGGTCATGTACATGCAATAGTATTAGTAATCTAAACATTCACCAACACAAATGTGGAAAACAATTTACTTTACCATTATTATTTTTTCTACTTTTATTTGCTAGTTGTTTTTTATTTATTTTCCTGTGTGTATTTTTATTCTCACTTTAATTGTCTGTTTGTCTTTATTTACATCTGTATTGCATTTTAGTCAAAATCCTAATAGGGATACGAACGCAATAAAGATAATTATTATTATACAACTGTACAACTCATTTCTAAAGAAAAATATACTCGGACTGTGAAATTCCGAATTAACAATGGATTACTGCAAGAAGCTGAAACAGACAACGAATATCCTATCGCCAATCGCCAATGGGGAAAGTTGATGTCGTTACTTTAAGTATTGAAACATCAATAAAAGTGTCCCAGGGAAATTGTAAGTTACTCGTACGAATCTCGTTTGCGCCGTCAACTTCTTACCTGGATATTAAATTCCAGCTACACCAAGAGACAAATCGCACACAAATCCAACGGACATTTACTAGGAATGGAAATGTATTTTGTAGGTAAACATTAAGTCTCGATTCATAAATACTAGTACTTACCTTTCATAGCTTACAAATTTGAAAACAGCCGCTACACCGGATGTGTCTGTTTGTTCGCTGTTAAAATTTCTCCAGTCTGCTGAATACGGACCATGGAGGGCGCAATTGTCATTAGACTTAAAGTGCCTGTGCAATGACCACCCTCACGTTTCCCATTTTAGATCTGTGTCCCACTGAAACGGGCAGTTATTAATTTTTTTGCTGTAAATGATTACTCGTATCCAAGTAAATTTGGGATATTGCTCGTGTTGTGGCCACGCCCACCAATCCTGAAACGGTCGACTGTTTCCGGATTTCCGACTCTCGCCGAAAGTGCGCCACCAAATGCCAAAATGTGAGAGGAAGTCATACCCCTGAGCCGTAATAACACTGGTCATTCAGTAAACTTTTAAACGATATACATTTATCGGTCGGCGTTTTTGTTGTCTTTTTTTTTTCGTCTATTTTCTTTTTTTCTGAGAGAGAGAGAGTTTTTAGATGTTGTGTTGTGGGCAGTTGCAGTGCAACGTATAGTCATAGTGTAAGTATTGACACGTTTCTAATCGATCCGAAGCTGCGACATCAGTGGACGAAAGCCACTTAACCTCAGATTCTTTTTTTTTTGTGGAAAAACTGTCCTCGTCCATGAAAAAAAAAACTAGGTTTAAAGAGAAACGCCGACAACATAAACCTGGTGCAACACTTTTGAAAGAAATGGATTCCGGACCATGATCACCGAGGCGGATTTCAGAAGAGAGAGAAACGTCCGGCAAGTGTTTCTAATGAGTTGACTTCTTTTGCGATCCTGATTATCGTTTTATAGAGACCATTTAGTCCCTGTTAAGTAAAAGGTAGCAATAATTTTGACAGTGACACGAAAACGAAGCGTCGGACAAACAGGAAATTACACAGCCTTTACACACTGCTAATTGTTTTCATTTTCGAAGGCTAAAAGTATCTGAATTGTTTGGTGATTGGTGTTGAATGTCGAATTTACACCTCTGTTCTTTTTTTACCTCCATGCTTGCAGCTTGATCTGCGTAATAATTTATGAAATAAGAATCTGGGCTTGGTCAATGTGTTTCCACCAAATAAAGTTTTAATATGATCACAGTCCCTCTGTGATAGAGGGACTGTGACATGATGTTATAATTATGACAAACACGCCATGGATCACGCTAACTCGAATCCACTCTGAATTTATCTGTATGTGTGTCGATCTCGATTATTTTTGTTAAACGCCGCTTTTAACGCACTTGCCCTCGTCCTGACCCGACGCGTTCACCTATTTCAACAAAATTTCAATTTATTTCCACGCGGCTGTCATTTATTTAGTAACTGTGATTTGTCGTTTTTTTTAATTATTTTATTGTGATCACGATAGTCTAATGTTTAGAATGTCAAAATATGTTCTCTTTTATTTTAATTTTGAAAGTTTTACTCAGACGATCGATGAAATAAAACAGTGTAGTGACGTGCCTAGTAACCTGCTAAATAACGAGATAATTCCGACGTCAAATTCTATTTTGTCCATCGACAGTGTACAAACGTGAGCCGGTGACGATTACGGTGACCAGCTACACCAGAACGGACATATTTCGCATCTAACCCAACCCATGTAACAAAAATTGATAGTATGTGTTCATTATGGTCTATTCCCCCTCGACGAACAAGTACGTAAGTGAAAATTTAGTCAAAGACGAGAAAACTGCACAAGAAATTTGCCTTATTTACACGTATCTGCAATGCAAGCTGCCATGCGACTTCCCCTTCTGACGTCACAAGGGGAATTTCTGTATGCAAATAAGAAGCTAATGAGGAGCCTCGTTTTAAAATACACAAAAATAAAGTTGCCGTAGATTGAGTTTAAAACACATTTTTTCACTTACAAAAAAATAATTCATGCTCAGAAACATGAAAATTAATAATATTTAGGTATCAATGGATAATTTTAGGCGTGAAAATAGCATCCATATCACAGGCACTTTAAATGATTGAAAAGTTTGTGTTTATGCAAATTGAAGGTCACATACGACTCCAAACTAATTTACGACTGAGATCCCCGATGGATGCATCAAGTGACAAACACAAAGCAAAATAATTTTAAATTTCAATGCAGTTGAGTTTCTGTCGCAGCGAATGTAAATTGTTAGTATTTGTTCATTTCAAGATATTGTTGAAGGATTTCGACCATTCCACATCGCTACAAGAAAATAAAAATCATGAGCA